GGTATAACCTACAGTGGTGGGAAACTGGATGTTGTAACACAAGCCCGATGTTTGAAAATAACGTGTCGTTTTATTTTTCTGCTGAAAATTTGAAAGGCAAACAATGGAGTATTTTATTTTGAAAGGTAACTGGAAAGAATGTGTAATGAAGTTATTAAAATAAAGGTTTGTTTTGTAAATAGGGTTAGGAAAAATAAGTATTTTTCTCTCTTAAAACAAAAAGTAACATCATTCTCAATTGTTTTCTTTCAAATAGAAATAAAATAAAGGTCAATCTGAATATTTCCCTGCATGTGTCATTTAAATCTTACAAATTCTTATAGCGGTGGTGGAATTACTAAAAACATAGTTGTGAGTAGGCTGTTACATGTTGTACCTGTTATTTACAGGTCATTTTGACCCGTGACCTTTCAGGAACAGTTTCACAGATACAAAATTCAAGTTTATCTTTATTTCAAGAATTATTTTTAACCTGTCACTGGTTCAACCTGACTTGAGAGTTTGTTTATTTTTCCAAGGTACAGCAGAAGATACTCACTGACAAACAGCATAAAAAAACCTAACCTATTACACCAGTTTACCACTGTTTCTTTTGATGCTGCCTCATATAAATATCTGTTTTTATTGTACAAATTGGTAAATTTTGTAGGTGGATTAACAAGATAAAATGGCAACAGCTAAAAAAAACATTGAGATAGTTGGTGCTGGAGTTACTTTTTTAAATATACATAAACAAACCATTGGATAAAGACAAAATAATTAATTGTATAACAAAGTAGGTACCAAAAAGGATGGACAGTAATCTCTAATTGAACTAGTTGTGTTTGTTTATTGTTTTACCCATATTTGTGGACCATTTTTTTGATTAGCGATGTTTTGATTTTGCTTTAAAACTATGAATGATATACTCAAAGATTTGATGAATTTGTGAATATATGCTGAAGTTGGAAGAATGTGACGATGTCTCTTCCACAAGCTTTGATCCTGAAGATGATCGTTCAGATTTTATCAGAAGTTTTGACAAATTTTCAAACTCATGAAATTATTTTTAAGAGGCTGAGTGTAGACTACTGTGTGAGGAGGACTCAAATCCAGACTTTGTTGATAATCAAAAACTTTTAAATGAATCTAAATGTCCCGCGCAAGCAAAGAAATACAAGGAAATAGTCAAAAAACACGTATATTAAGAAACAACAGTACAAACAGAGAACATGTAGTTTGTCTTTCTAAATTAAAATGAGACCTGCATTTATTGCCTTTGGAGAGTCAACAGTGTCTAATCTAAAACGGCAGTATTGTGAAAGAATAACAGGTCAGGACATTGTGACATTTCACTGTCAAAGCAGGAGAGCATCTGGTCTTTATGTGTGACACAAATCGGTATTAACATTGATTTTTTTTTTTTTTTTACCTCCCAGGGTGCGGTTTTGTATAACTTGAGTTTAACTGAAGAGTTTAAGTACTTTGAGATTCCATTGCATTTAATATCTTTAAAATACCACAGTCAGGTAAAAAAGGGGRCTTCAGAGAAACCAGGAGTCAGGTTAAGGCACTAACGTTTTCAGTTGATTTATTTACTCAGTCTAATCTTCATGATCAGGGCACAGTAACATTAGCGGTAATGACAGTCAACATTTAGTTAATGTTATATATGGACAGACAACGTCAGCAAAAATTGGCTTTAAAAAAGAGAGCTTTGGAATGCAGACGTTYACACCAGCCAGGCATGAAGGTGTTTGTACTAGCTCTTACCTTAGCCCTTGCGGGTGAGTACACCTTTTTTCAAATAGGATGCAAAAGTGTAGCTTATGGTTAACTGCATTTTTTTCTTTATCTATTGTGAGATAAAACTGGATGAAAAGTGAACACCGTGCCAGAGAAATTGTCCTTTTCAAGACAAAAACAAAAGACATTACCTTCATTTTAAAATATGATAGTGTAAGAAAGTTCAGATGTTTTTATAGCTTCCAAATGACAGAGAAAAAATACAATATCCAACTAAGAAGTTAAAGAAAAATAACTTGATCTTTATAACATTTTACTGAACCATTTACAATATTTATTGATTATTTTTAAATACCAAACTAATATTTTATTGTTTTGCAGCTGGTAACCAGGTGAGCTATGGTAAGTTATTTCTTGTTTTAAATAAAACAGTATAGGTAGCAGCATTCTTGTGTTGTACRGCTTAAATTAAACTTTTCTTTTGTTATAGCCCCAGAGTTTGCTTCTGGAAAAACTTATGAGTACAAATATGAAGCACATCTTCTGGGGGGCTTGCCTGAGGAGGGCCTGGCACGAGCTGGGGTGAAAATTCAAAGCAAAGTCTTGATTGGCGCAACGGACTCAGACAGCTACATTCTGAAGGCAAAGAGCATTTTTCACTACCAACATTTTTCCACAATAAAACTTTTATCCATGCAAAGAAACAGATCCTTCAATTGAAYTCCATTTCCAACTTGCAGCTTGTAGATCCTATGCTTTATGAATACAGCGGCATCTGGCCCAAAGAGGATTACCGCCCCGCCACCAAGCTCACTTCAGTCCTGTCTGCTCAGCTCTTGACTCCTATCAAGTTTGAGTATGCCAACGGTGTGGTCGGTAAAGTGTATGCACCTGAAGGCGTCTCTGCAACCGTGCTGAACATCTACAGGGGAATCCTCAACATCCTTCAGATGAACATCAAGAAGACACAAAATGTGTATGAGATGCAAGAGGTACAAATGGCTCACTTWCATCGGTCTACTTGACAAACAATGCAGTGTTCATTAAGAATTTTATTTTATTTTTCTCAAACTAGCTTGGAGTTCAGGGTGTGTGCAAGACCCACTACGTCATTAATGAAGACTCAAAGGCTGACCGCATCCACCTGACCAAGACCAAGGACCTGACCAATTGCCCCGATAGAGTTTATATGGACATTGGCTTGGCAGGATATGCTGACAGATGTGTGGAATGTGAGTCTGTAAGTACTGTTTTCCTTTTCCCTCCTACTCTCTTTAACAAAAGCAAAATTACTGGATCTATAATACTGTGTGTTGTATCAATGCAGCGGGCAAAATCCTTAAAAGGAGCAACTGCTGTGACCTACACCCTGAAGCCCTCAGCTTCTGGTTCTTTAATTTTGGAAGCAACCTCATCAGAGCTTATCCAGTACTCGCCTTTCAACATCATAAATGGTGCTGCCCAGACAGAAACTAAGTATGTGCTTTAAATTCTTCTAAAATTTTCAGAAAGGGTCTATGAGAGTCAGCTGAATCATTTGACAATCCGATATGTTCACAGGCAAATCCTGAAATTTTTGGATATCAAGATGACCACAATAGAGCCTATCAAAGCTGACTATCTTCCTCGCGGATCGCTTAAGTACGAGATGGGCACTGAGCTTCTCCAGACACCAATTCAACTTCTGAGGATCAGCAACGTTGCGGCTCAGGTACTTTGTGAAACATTCTTTTCCACTCTGGTTTTTCTTGAAATTCCAAACGTTTAATTAGGAAACATGCTTTATGACAGATCATTGAGACCTTGAACTACCTGGTAAACTCCAATTTGGGCAAGGCCAGTGAAGAATCACCTCTGAAATTTCTTGAGCTCGTCCAGCTGCTGCGTGTTGCCAAWTATGAGACTATTGAAGCCCTCTGGAGCCAGTTCAAAGCCAGAAATGATTACAGGTAATAATGGCACTTGCACTCAGAAAATAATCTCAAAAGTAATGCATATGGATAAATCACTGTGATTGCATTTTGCATTTTTGTCTCATAGACATTGGATGCTGAGTTCTTTCCCAGCCRTTGGTAATCACATCACTCTTAAATTTATCAAGGAGAAGTTCATTGCTGGGGAATTAACTTATTTTGAAGCTGCTCAAGCCTTAATGCTTTCCGTACAGTCAGTAGTACCAGACCTGGAGGCCATCAAGCTTTTGGAGGCAAGTTGGTGTACAGTACAAAGTCATTCTGTTTATTTGCARTGCATTATGAACAGCTTCATATAATAAAGTCTTTTTTTTTTTACCTCTCTTCAGGGCTTGGCTGTGACCCCCAAGATTAAAGAAAATCTTTTCTTGAGCGAGATTGCCATGCTGGGCTTTGGTACCATGATTGATAAATACTGCGCTGAGAACCCTTCATGTTCAGCCGAGCTTGTCAGGGTGTGTGTAGTTTTTGTATTTGTGTTCAAAAGAGAACCAAAAAAGTTCTTCCATTGTTAATTTTACTGGTCTTCTCTCTCTCTTCCATAGCCTGTTCATGATCTCGTAGTTCGGGCCCTTGAAAAACGTGACAATGATGAGCTCACTCTTGCTCTCAAAGTTCTGGGTAATGCTGGACATCCCAGCAGCCTGAAGACAATCATGAAACTTCTGCCCGGCTTTGGCAACGCTGCTTCCACTCTCCCACACAAAGTTCACATCGAAGCTGTTTTGGCACTGCGGAAAATTGCAAAGAGGGAACCCAAGATGGTAAAGCAACACTTCTAACTTTCTTCTTTTTATGATGAAAATGTCAAAGGCCTATTTCTTGCATGCAGATGTACTCAGATTGTCTTTTCTGATTTAGACTCAGGACATGGTTGTTCAGCTCTATATGGACAAGCATCTTGAGCCAGAGCTCCGTATGGTTGCTGCCATTGTTCTTTTTGAGACCAAACTGCCCATGGGTCTGGTCACCACACTTTCTCAGAGCCTCTTGAATGAAGCAAACCTACAGGTTACCAGTTTTGTCTACACCTACATGAAGGCCCTTAGAAGGGCCACCACACCAGACCATTCCTCTGTGTAAGAACTGATTGTACATTTTATGAAACATTTTGAAATACATAAGTAGCAAGAGTTTTAAATGTTTATATTTTCCTTACAGCGCTGCTGCCTGCACTGTTGCCATAAGGATGCTCAGCCCCAAACTTGACAGGCTGAGCTACCGCTTCAGCAGAGCTTTTTATTATGATACTTATTACAGTAAGAACTTTACAGAACTACAGTGTACACTTACAGATTTCACATGCATTGAAAAAGGGTCTGATGGTTTATGTCTTTTGTCCCCTAGATCCTTGGATGCTGGGTGCTGCTGCCAGTGCCTACTACATTAATGATGTTGCCACCGTTTTGCCAAAAACCATTATGACAAAAGCTCGCACTTATTTTGCTGGAGTTCACGTTGATGTTTTTGAGGTATGATTGTCATATTTAAACATTTATTTTAGATGTAAAGACTTGTTACAGTAAAGTATTTACATTAGATTTAAATAGAATTTTTTTAATGCAGCTAAAAAACACTCTAGTATTATTATTTAAAAAAAACTTTGGGAATTTTTTTTTCTTTTACAGTTTGGAGCAAGAACCGATGGACTGCAAGAGGCTCTTTTGAAAATCCGTGATGTTCCAGAGAGCGCAGACAGGATCACTAAGATGAAACAAGCCATCAAGGCTGTAAGTATAAATTACATTTTCACAGTGAAAACACCAACTGCTATATGCCTTTCTGATAGCTGCTTTTAACATTTTATTTTTCATACAGCTGACTGAATGGAGAGCTAATCCTTCAAGACATCCCCTGGGTTCTCTATCTCTGAAGGTTTTTGGACAGGAAGTTGCATTTGTAAACATCGACAAAGCAATGGTGGAACAGCTTATTCAGGTTAAACATCACCTACAGTTTCCTATATTTGAAATTTTTTATAAACTTTAATATAGAAGCTTGGTCTCATAATTAACTTTGTTTTTAACAGCTTACAAGTGGACTTGAGATTCACACATATGGCAGAAAGGTATTGGAAGCTCTGCTGTCTGGTTACACACGAAAATATTCTATGCCGATACTGGCCGCTGAGGTTCGTCGTGTTTTCCCCACCAMTCTTGGTTTACCCATGGAGTATAGTTTCTACACTGCTGCTGTTGTTGCTGCATCCATTGAAGGTAATGCAGTGTWACATTTGAGTGTCTAAGAGTATGGTTTAAACTGAACATATAAAAATCTTGTCTTTCACAGTAAAAGCCACAGTGACACCACCTCTGTCTAAGGACTTCCATCTTGGACAGCTTCTTAAATCAGACATTTCTTTGCAGTCTGCAATTGCTCCAAGGTAACCCACTTTTATGGGGCTCTATAAATAGAAAACAAACACACTATACCTTGCTTAATCTGTTAATTTCTCTTCATTTGCAGTGTTTCCATGCACACCTATGCAGTTATGGGTGTGAACACAGCTTTCCTCCAGGCTACTATGTTGACAAAAGCCAAAGTTCACTCAATCGTTCCTGAGAAGATGGAGGCAAGACTTGATATAAAGGATGGCTACTTTAACTTCCAGCTCCTGCCTGTTGAGGGAGTTAACACAATTGCATCTGCACTGTATGTGTATATCTAGAAAGAAAACTTCAATATTGTGTTTTTTTTTTTTTGTTTGTTTTTTTAACACGTTTCTTTTTTCTGCTTAAGTGTTGAAACTGTGGCTATCGCAAGAAATGTGGAAGACCTTGCAGGTGCCAAAATCACACCAATTTTTCCAGCTGAGACTTTAAGGAGGAATGCCACCTCAGAGTCTTCATGGATGTCCTCCTCTTTTAATGACAGCATGGTAGGTGGGATTTTCATCATATTTTTCAGTTCAAGAAAATTTTAGGTAACTCCTAATTGCGATTTTACAGTCTGAATCATCTGAAATCCTTCCTGTTAACATGGAAAGTCAAATGGTCAACACAATAAAGCTCCCCAAAGCATTTTGGAAGAAACTGTGTGTTGCAACTGAAACATTTGGAATCAAAGCCTGCACTGAGATTGAGTCCCGCAATGCCATTTTCTTGAAAAAGTCCCCACTCTATGCCATGATGGGGAAGCATGCCATTGAAGTTAAAGTTTCTCCAGGCAAGTAAAACTAGTGAATTCAAGTTTTTAAACAAAGTGACAATGAGAGAAATGGAAAAAAATATATATTAATTTTTGTTTTGTTTTGTTTTAATTCATCCAAATTTCAGCTGCTGGACCAGCTATTGAAAAGATTGAAATTGAGGTTCAGGTCGGAGAAAAAGCAGCAGATAAGCTCATCAAGGTAGTTAACTTGAGAGAGGAGGAAGAGGAGGAGGAGCCTCTTGAGGACAAAAATGTCTTGATGAAACTAAAGAAGATTCTGGTTCCTGGTCTGAAGAACAGCACATCAGTTTCGTCTAGCTCTAGCAGCTCTCAGTCCACCAACTCTCGCACCAGCAGCTCGAGTTCAAGCGCCTCCTCCTCTAGATGGTCCAAGAGTTCCTCCATCTCCTCCTCTAGCCGCAAGAGTAGGATGATTGATCTTACTGACCTCATCAACATCAAATCAGACAAATCATCCAGCAGATCATCCAGCAGTTCCCCCAGCAGGAGCTCAAGAAGCTCATCCAGCAGCCGGACATCTCTCCAGTCCAGTAGGTCATCTCTCCAGACCAGCAGTTCATCCTCCAGCTCCATGTCTAAAGTGAGTCTTGTGTCAAAACCCAAACAGAAAAGCTTTTCYACGACTATTTGAAGCAAGTTATAGCTTTGTATTTACTTATTCTTCTACTACAGCAAGAACTGTATGAAATGAACTTCACCAAGCACCACATCCACCAGGTAATAATCAGATTTCTCTCATTCATTAGTTGCATTTATCTAAAATGACAAGAGATTAACTTATTAGGGGGGAATTCAGACTAATATACAAGCCTTACTGAGCAAGGGAAAATGTTTGTTTGTAGCATTCCATCTCTGTAGAGCGCACCAGCAGCAAGAGCAGTGCCCAGAGTTTTGAAGACATCTACAATAAGGTGAGTCAACAGGTCAAGGTGTACATAGTTGTGAAATTAAATACAAAAGAAAAATATATTGCATAAAATTGATGCACATTTCTTCCTTACACATTCAGGCCAAATACCTCTCCAACACTATCAAGCCAGCAGCCACCATTGTCATCCGTGCTGTTAGAGTTGACCACAAGAGTCAGGGTTATCAGATTGCAGCTTATTACGACAAAGAAGATGCCAGAGTGCAGGTCATCGTCGCCAACCTCACTGAAGATGACAAGTGGAGAATTTGTGCCGACGGTGTCGTGCTGAGCTACCACAAGCTGATGGCAAGTATTCACTAAACGCCTCCATCAAGAGAGAGGAAAGTAACATGCTGCTTGAAATTTAATGGATTATATTTTAATTCAGGCCAGGGTTACTTGGGGCATTGAATGCAAGCAGTACAACGCTACAATCACAGCTGAGACCGGTGTCGTTGCTAAAGAGCCTGCCGTCCGTGTGAAGCTAGCCTGGGCCAGACTCCCTGAGGGCATGACAAGATATGCAAAATGGTAACATTACAAACTGAGGAATATTTGTAAATGTTCTCAGACATTGTGGCTGAAAAGTGGGAATCACTTACTTCAGTAACACATTCTGTTCTCATACTTGTCTACCACTTCTTAATAACTTGCATGATGGCCTTCAGAAAAAAGTTTAACACCATGAACTGCTTGTCTCTTTAGGATCTCCGAGTACCTTTCTCGTACTGCTGTGCAGTATGGAGTAAACCAGACAAGAGTTGTTAATAAAGCTAAAGAGATCAAACTGATTTTATCTGTTGCCAACGAGACAAGCTTGAATGTTACACTGAAGACACCAAAGGTGCGCTGTTGTGACACATTTTTAGTTCAGTGTAGTTTTTGCTTTATGTAGATTATACAAATGTCTGTTGTGATTCAATATTATAGAGCACCCTTTACAAACTGGGAGTTAGTCTGCCTATTTACCTGCCAATCAGCAACACTGCCAATGAGCTGGAGTCATACTCAGACAACTGGAGTGACAAGATCACCTACATGCTCACCAAGGCTCTTGCAGGTGAACTGACTGAATATGTTCCAATCAAATATTAATAACAATCTTTATGTGGCTAAATTTGTATTTTTTTCCCCTCTTCTTTTTTTATATTCCAGCTGAGTGTAACGTGCTTAAAGACAAAGTGGTCACATTCAACAACAGAACTTACAAGACCGAGATGCCAATCTCCTGTTACCAGGTTGTGGCTCAAGATTGCACATCAGAACTCAAATTCTTAGTTCTACTGAGGAGGGACCAGACACACGAAAAGAATGAGATCAACGTCAAGATTCACAACATGTAAGAGACAYCAGTATACATATGGGAGACAAAAACAACAACAACAACAACAAAAGTCTAGTTCTGCAGTACCAAAAAAATAACTTGTATTGAAACTGTTTTATTCCAACAGTGACATTGACATATATCCCAAGGATAGTGCTATCATGGTGAAGGTTAATGGAGTGGAAATCCCTGCCAACAATCTGCCATATCAGCATCCAGAAGGTGTTTTGTTTTATCAAAGAAAATTTACCTGCCTGGTCACATCCATTGAGTTTATTAAAAACTAAAATATCAGTTACTTACACATATTCTCATTTATTACAGGCAGCATAACCATCAGAAAGAAAGACGAGGGCATCTCTCTCATTGCTCCAGGTCATGGCCTTCAGGAGGTCTACTACAGCTTCAGTGAACTAAAGGTGATTCAATGAATCCTCTTACTGTAGGCAATCGTCATATAAAAATAATGTCATCATGAAGCTGCATTTGTTTTTCAGGTTAAAGTTGTAGACTGGATGAAAGGTCAGACTTGCGGACTGTGTGGAAAAGCCGACGGTGAAGTCAGAAAGGAGTACCGTATGCCCAACGACCGGGTGGCCAAGAATGCAACCAGCTTTTCTCATTCCTGGGTTCTACCAGGAAAGAGTTGCCGTGATGCTTCTGGTAAAACATACAGCGTTTTTTTAAGCCAAAAACAAAAACAAACAACCAAAAAACATACAGCCTTTTTTTGACCTTTCAGTTTTAGAATAATAGTACTTAGCAGTAGCCTGGCCCTTGCCTTCTTATGCAGTTCTGTTCAATTCTGGTTTCCGAAGGAGAAGGGGCTGGTTTTAACCAGGCTAACTTAGCAGGCTAAGATGTAAGGATTTGGGACAATGAAGAGCAAGTTAAATTAACCCCCGAATGTTAACATGCATGATTTAATTGCTTACCTTCAACTCAAACTCTTTCCAGAGTGTTTCATGCAGCTTGAGTCTGTAAAGCTGGAAAAGCAGGCCAGTCTGGAAGGCGAGCAGGCCAAATGTTACTCTGTTGAGCCCGTGCTGCGTTGTTTGCCTGGCTGCACGCCTGTGAGAACCACCTTCGTCAAAGTTGGTTACCACTGCGTGCCTCTCGGTGAGTCTGAAAGGAAGTCAATTTTACCATCGTTATGATCTAACCAGAAACAAGCCTTAACTGTTTTATTCTCCTCCATGATGCAGAGTCAAACCTGAATCGTTCTGATGCACTCAGCAACATCTACGAGAAGAGCATTGACCAGATGGAGAACGCTGAAGCCCACCTGGCCTGTCGATGCACTCCTCAGTGTGCCTAAACTTGTTGTCTTTGGACATTTTTCATTTCTTGTTTGTGTAATATGCAAGCTAATGTACTTGAATAAAAAATCACGTGCAGTAAATGTATGTTGTGATCTGTTTTTAATAAAAGCAAGCTTAGAAGTCATTCATTCATTCTAAAATGTATGTCATTCTTTACATTAATACTACACATAATGAAAGTCTCACATAAACATTATTTATAGGTACTGATATTTCTAACAAAAAACAAGAAGAAAATGTCACTGATTAAAGATACATTATAGTAGACTCAAATAAATAAACAAGAAATATTTAGAAGGGAAAAATGGGTGAAATTGAAATGCAACTGATTTTATTATGAGACATCTGAAGACAATTAGTGGACGGAGGGATGAGTAAAACAAGACATGATACATAAGGGAATGGAGATGTATTTAGGTAACCATTTATAGAAAAAAAAGTTTGGCTTTAAAATCATGCATTACATTTTAGTACCACAAATACAACAAATTGACACACACACACACAGACACACACACACACACACACACACACACACACACACACACACACACAC